ATTTTGCCAGCGAATGTAGCCGGGACCATCCAAGATACAAAGTTCCATGTGATCGAGGGTGACATGAGATACAACGTACTGCTCAGAAGGCCTTGGATACATAACATGAGAGCACTACCTTCGACACTTCATCAAGTTTTGAAGTTCCAACTTCGGAAGGAGTCAAAACGGTGTACGATGAACAACACGCCGCCAAATAAATGCTTGCAATCGACGAAGTGATACCGATATCAGCGCTTTTGTCAACAAAGGAATCGGAGTCAAAAGGAAAACAAGAAGTCAAATAGCAACCACAGGCACCGGCCTCGGCCCCATCGGAGGAACAGGAGATCTTCTAAGATGAAGATTATATGATACCTCGGACCTTCATAACCACAGATGATTCTGATGCAACGAAGTCGACGGTCGAGGAGCTGGAACAACTCATACTGATCGAGCATCTTCCCGATCGAAAGGTATACTGGGCATAGGGTTAACTCCCAAGATTAGGAAAAAACTTGTTCAATTCCTTTTAAATAACATGGATTGTTTTGCTTGGCCCCACCTAGATATGACAGGGATCCCACCGGATATCACAACACATCGATTGAGCCTGGGCCCGAAGTTCAAACCGGTAAAGCAAAAGAGGAGGCCCCATTCCGAGGTAAAACATGCATTCATCAAGGACGAGATAACCAAGATTCTCAAAAAAGGATCCATTCGAGAAGTAAAATATCCCGAATGGTTAGCAAACATAGTTGTAGTTCCTAAAAAGGGGAACAAACTTAGAATGTGTGTTGATTATAAAGATTTAAACAAAGCATCTCCCAAAGACTCTTTTCCTTTGCCGAATATCGATCGCATGATCGATGCCACTGCCGGCCACGAGACACTTAGTTTTCTCGACGCTTATTCCGGGTACAATAAAATTCAAATGAACTCGAAGGATCAGGAAAAGACCTCATTCATCACTAAGTATGGCACCTACTGTTATAATGTAATGCCATTTGGGCTAAAAATGCTGGTGCTACTTACCAACGCCTAGTGAATCGGATGTTTGAAGAAAAAATAGGTAAATCAATGGAGGTATATATTGACGATATGCTAGTTAAGTCCCTGCGCGCAGAGGACCATTTAACACATTTGTAGGAAACCTTCAACATATTGAGAAAATACGACATGAAGCTCAATCCTGAGAAATGTGCATTCAGGGTCGGTTCGGGCAAGTTCCTCAGCTTTATGGTGTCAAATCAGGGAATCGAGATCAACCCCGATAAAATCAAGGCAATTGAAGACATCACAGTCGTGGACAACGTTAAAGTCGTACAAAGGTTAACGGGGCGGATAGCCGACTTAGGTCGGTTCATCTCAAGGTCTTCAGATCGAAGTCACAGGTTCTTCTCACTGCTCAAAAAGAAGAAGAACTTCACTTGGACCCCGGAATGCCAACAGGCGTTGGAAGAGTTAAAGCAGTATCTTTTGAGCCCACCATTGCTTCATACTCCGAAAACAGATGAGCAACTCTACTTATATTTGGCAGTCTTGGAAGTTGCGGTAAGTGGTGTCCTAGTTCGAGAAGAGCAAGGTACGCAATTTCCTGTTTACTATGTTAGTCGAACTTTAGGTGAAGCCGAGACCCGGTACCCACACTTAGAGAAATTAGCGCTTGCTCTAATAAGCGCCTCTAGGAAATTAAAACCATATTTCAGTGCCACCCAATTTGTGTGGTGTCCACTTACCCTCATCGCAATGTCCTGCACAAGCCCGAACTTTCTGGCCGATTGGATAAATGGGCCGTAAAAATCAGTGGATATGATATCGAGTATCAACTCCGAACGGCCATCAAGTCCCAAATCTTAGCAGACTTCGTGGCCGACTTCACGCCAGGCCTCAAACCCGAGGTCGAAAAGGAACTTTTGTTAAATACGGGTGCGTCTTTGAGGATGTGGACCGTTTTCACAAATGGCGCTTCGAATGTGAAGGGATCCGGGATAGACATCATTTTGAAGCTTAAGTTGACTAACAATGAGGCCGAGTATGAGGCCATGATTGCAGGTCACGAGCTGGCTAAAAGCTTGGGAGCAGAGGTCATCGAGGCCAAATGTGACTCCCTACTTGTGGTTAACCAAGTCAACAGGACCTTCGAGGTTCGAGAAGATCAAATGTAGAGGTACTTGGACAAATTTTAGGTAACTTTACACCGGTTTAAAGAATGGACCCTACAGCATGTACCTCGAGAACAGAACAGCGAGGCCAATGCCCTAGCAAATATGGGGTCATCAGTCGAAGACAACGAAATTAGCTTGGGGACTGTCGTACAACTTTCAAAGTCCGTAATCGAAGAAGGCCACACCGAAATAAACTCCACAAGCCTAACTTGGGATTGGAGGAATAAATATATCGAGTATCTAAAAAACGAGAAGCTTCCATCGGGCCCCAAGGAATCGAGGACTCTGCGAACAAAGGTTGCACGATTCACATTGGCTGTAGATGGAACATTATACAGAAGGATGTTCGATGGACCGTTGGCAATATGTTTGGACCCGGGAGCCACCGACTATGTTCTACAAGAAATTCACGAGGGTACTTGCGGGAACCATTCCAGTGCCGAATCACTGGTTCACAAAGTCATCAGAGCGGGATACTATTGGGCCAATATGAAAAAAGATGCTAAGGAATTCGTTCAAAAATGCGACAAGTGCCAAAGTTATGCCCCGATGATCCACCAGCTCGGAGAGCAACTTCATTCAGTCCTATCCCCATGGTCGTTCATGAAATGGGGAATGGATATCGTCAGTCATCTTTCATCGAACCCAGGTAAAGCTAAATTCATTTTAGTGATGATTGACTATTTCTCTAAATGGGTTGAAGCACAGGCTTTCGAGAAAGTCAGGGAAAAAGAAGTCATAGATTTCATCTGGGATCACATCATATGCCGATTCGGAATACCGGCCGAGATAGCATGCGACAATGGAAAACAAATTTATCGGCAGCAAAGTAACAAAGTTCCTCGAAGATCACAAAATAAAAAGGATCTTGTCAACGCCGTATCATCCAAGTGGGAACGGAAAGGCCGAACCAACAAACAAGACCATCATTCAGAATCTAAAGAAAAGATTAAACTACGCTAAGGAAAAATGGAGAGAAATTTTGCCCGAGGTCCTTAGGGCGTATCGAAAAATGTCAAAATCCAGTACGGGGGCAACACAGTTCTCCTAAGTATATGGCGCCAAAGCTCTGATCCCGATCGAAGGTAGGGATCCTAGCCTCAAGTTTCAATACACAACAAAAGAGTCAAATCACGAGGCTATGAATATAAGTTTGGAATTGCTAGATGAAAAATGGGAAGCCGCCTTCGTCCGAATGTCCACACAAAAGCAGCGCATAGAAAGGTACTATAATTGAAGATCCAATCTTTGACACTTCAAAATTGGGGACTTAGTTCTGAGAAAGGTCACCATCAACACTCGAGACCCAAACGAGGGAAAGCTCGGTCCGAACTGGGAGGGACCATATCAGGTCCTCAACATCGTCGGAAAAGGATCTTACAAACTTGGCACGATGAACGGCGAACAATTGCCAAATAATTGGAAGATATCACTTCTCAAACAATATTATTGCTAAGGTATGACCTTCTCCTCTTTTCATTTGTATTTTATACTAACTTGTCGCAGGTATTCGATCGAAGAATCGAGGAATTCTTCAATGCAAAGACCTTAGGTTTTAAAGCACGCGTTGCACTCTTTTTTCCTTAGACTGGTTTTTGTCCCGAATGGGTTTTTCCGGCGAGGTTTTTAATGAGGCAACAATTATTTGTGCTACCTGGGGACAATTCAACAGTATCCGAGGCTTCTTCGCAATCAACCTCGAATACTTGGGGGCGTCACCCTCAGATGATAGCTTTATTACAAGGAAGATACTTCGCATTGACTGGGTCTCGATAGGTAAAATTTTGTAAGGGCCAAACGGTCGAACGAACCGTGCCCATATAGGTTACTCGCGCCCTAAAAAGCAAACATGTACGCATGTATAACATATGAAGAGAAGTATTTTTCTTTGCCAAATCTTTCGTGTCTTAGAAAAATTTTACTTCACGATCTCGTACTTATGATCTATTGCGGAAACTGGCTCGAAGGCCGAGCTACTTGGGGACTACCACCCGAAAATTGACATGTTCGAATTACTAAAATCTCGAGATCATAAGACCATAAAAAGGCAACCCTCGATTTCATAGGCCACAGCCACCCCACTCGGGGACTGGTGCTTCGAACAAGTTCGAAGTATAATTGAGAAACAAGCCCAAAGAGCAAATCTCAAGTTAAAGGCTACGGCCAAACTAACGCGGTTCAGAGACGTCCAAATCCCGTAACAAAACAGGCCTTCTAATATTTTTCACAAAACCAGTTAAAAGGGCTACCCTCGGCAAAATTACAAAGGGTTTCGATAACTTCAACCCTCAAAACCTTAAGGGGTACCAAAATTGTTCAAACTCTCGAACAAGCTTATGCTAAGGCATAACAAAGTAAAGAGTTTCTTTAAAACTAACCCTCGAAAATCCTAATGGGTACAGATTTATCTCATGCTAAGGCATAACAAATTTGTATATGATTAAACTTTTTAAGCCGAAAAGGGAAAAATCCACTCTTTTGAGGCCATATCGGCCCAATTCAAGAGCCTAAGGGCTATTATATTTTTTGAGTTCGAGAATACACACTCACTCAACTAAAACCTAAGGGTTTTTCTACTTCGAGTTCGAGCAAGTATTCACTCGGTTATAGAGACTATATTAGTCTAACTTCGATCAAGTTGCCTAAATTTCGGATTCACAAACAAAATTTTCACAAGACACGAAGTGAGTCAAAATTCTCACAAGGTACAAAGTGTATCAAAATTGTCATAAGGCGAAAAGCAAATCGGAGTTTTTGCAAGACAAAAGTTGGGATATGAAAGGAAATGTTTTATATATTTACATGGATCGGTCAGGATCCTACACAAAAAATCCAAAAAAAAATCTTAAGTGATTAATTTTCTTTGGGAGCTGCGTCTTCATCACCAGAATCCCCTCCACTCGCGCTCTCGGAGTCATCATCAGAAGAAGAAAGCAACGCTTTAGCTTCGACCTCGTGTACTTTCGCGTTCTCGATATCGACAGCAAGATTGAAGCCACAAGCATGGATCTCCTCAAGAGTCTCTCTTCGAGACTAGTAATTGGCATGCTTGATAACCCAGTATGATCGAGTCTAAGTGGTGCCAACCACATCTCTTGCTCGAGCTTGAGCAGCTTTAGCATCAGCTCGGTAGACGACAAAGATCGCCTCCGGTTCAGCCTTTACTCTTTCTACCTCAGATGTGGCCTTTGCAAGATCGGCATCCAACCGAGCCTCGAGCTCCTTAATTTTCTTCGCTCGGGCCAAGATTTCCTCTTTCATGCTTTGGAGTTGGCGTTCGGCCCATGACAATTGGGCTCGAGCAGTATCCTTCTCCGAAGCAAGGCGGTCCATGTATTGTTTCCACCCCAAAGTCTCCGCCTTCATCATGTTGGCCTCCTCACGGAGTTGCTCAATCTTTTCGGCCTTCTGTTTAAATTCAAGATCAAAGTATTAGCCGTCGTTCCCAAATTGATACATCGAACTTCTAAGAAAATTCTTGATTACCTGCTTAATCAGGTTGGTCTGCTCTTTGTGAGCTGTGGCTAGTATAGCTCGGAGGTACTTGATCTCCTCTTCTACTTGCCCACTGAGAATTTTGAGGGCATCTCTCTCCTCCGTAATCCTTTTAAGATCGGCCTCACACCGGTTCAGCTCTACCCGGGATTTAGAAAATGCTTCCCAATGAAGCGTTAAGGCCTATGAAGAAAGAAAGGAAATCAGGCTAGGGGAAATAAAGGCAAACGTAATATTGATAAAGGGAGCTGAGGCTTACCTGGCTCAGGAGTCTTTGAGCCTCATCGAAGATACTCGATGCATCACCCAGATCGGAATTATCTTCGACTCCCGTGAAGCAACCGTGAAAAAGGTCCTCCCCTTCGTGGGCTATTCCCAACATCGGGGGTCTCTATGGCCTGGGCTTCCTGAATTTGCCCCTCGAAAAATGTGGGGAGGGGCGGAGAATCGTCAACATCTATTGCCCCAAGCAAGTCACTTAGGGCGTTCTCTTTGTGTCAAAGGGCCTTAGACTGGCCCCTTCAGACACATCCGACGATTGCTCATCACGGCGGGAGGCATCTTTAGCCTCCGATAACTCAGGGACTTTTCTCGTGCCATCCTACAAGATCTCCTCGGTCCGAGGCTGAACCTCTTCGATCATCACCAGCTCAGCGGCCTTTGGGGCCTCGACACTCCTCTTCGTTCGGGATACTAGCTCAAAGTCAGCATCTTCAATTTCCTCTCCCTCTCCCTTAGTCGCTGAGGTACATCGGCAAGAAGGACGACAGTGTCTTTATTCGACCTGCGAGACTTGCTCTTCTTGGGCTTTGGAGTATCGGAGGGCGAGACCCTTTTTCTTTTCTTTTCCTTCGACGGCTTCGGGGCCGAGGGCGAAACCTCCTCCTTCCGGACGGGGGCCTCATGACGACATCTTTCCCCATGCTTGTATGAAAGGAAATCAAGTAAGTATAAAAAGGAAAACATTTTAACAAAAGCCATCAAATACATAAAGGAAAGGCTTACCATGATTTTTGGCCTCCCATCGGCCCCTTGCTAAATCGCGCCATGAGCGATCAACGTATGAGGAGGTCAAAGCTAGGGTCCAAAGCCAATGTAGACAATTAAAATTTTACTACATTTAAATCCATAAGAAATTTGAATTTTATTATAAATTAAATACATACTAGTCAAAGTAAATATTATGGGCTAGAATGATCGGTTAGTTATTTAAATCTAATTTAATTGATTTAAATAAAGGTCCAATATTTTATTGGGCTAGACCATCAATTGGTCTTCTATCAAATGGGTCAGCCCATAAGCCTCAAGCCTAATAATCCACTAGGGTTTTCTTGGAGATTATTCCACCCCACGCCTATATAAAGGGGTCAAAGGAGAAGGCTAAAACAAGCAAGTAAGCAGAAGGAAAGGCTAAAGAAGCTCTGAAGAATAGCATCAAGGTCTCCATCCACATCTGCAATATTAGTCTGTGGTCAAATCCCAAAGGCGAACGCAAGTCATAAGTGGGCGACTTCAAATCTTCCGTTCGTGTTAATCCAACAACAAATCCTGGTTCGTGACGACCTTCAAATTGTTCATGACGCACCACAAATCTGAAATCCGTCAAGTTCAAGATCAAGCTCTCAAGCTCTTGAACCATCGTTCGTGAGGAGAAGAATCAGAGGACTACATCTCGTTAGATCCGAGATATTTTAGAGATTGTAACCCCATCACTTGAAATTGAATATAATATTTGTCACTATATTTCTTGTCTTGATTATTATTTTTCAGGAACGAAATTTAGTTGTTACAAATTTTGCCACGCCCAGTGGGACCATCTCTACCTCTCATATCTTCTCAACTCTCAACATTCAAGATCACTAAGATGGTTTCAAAGAAGATCGACTCAAAAGTTGCTGACTCCAAGTTTTCTTCTGACGTTGAAAGTATCCTGAACGTTTCTAAGGGGATTCTTGGGCCAATCACCCGAAGCAACGCAAGCCTCTTGGGACAGCAAACACTCTAAGTGTCATCTGCACCAATGCATGCTTTGAGATCTTCATCATCCGAAGAAGATAGGTCTTCTACTAGAAAATCAGAGAGAGGAGATAATATTGCAGAAGTTATGGATAAAGCTCTTGCTCAACTTAATTTATACAGTACCAAGAGTCAACTTACCCAACATGATGATGAAGTTTTAAGTGTTGACTCTACGCCAATCTTGCCACATTACATGTTCCAAACTGAGTTCAATCCGTGCGGAGGTCTTGGTTATTCTTCATCATCTGCAATAATCATGGAGGCAATGATGAGTAACACTTCGACAATGGAGGAGCAACTCGCAAACCTGACAAAGGCGATTGATGGCTTAATAAAGTATGCTCAAGATCAAAATGTCCGTATCGCAAAATTGACAGGCATAGTTGAAAGCATGATGGATGGATAATTAAGTTATGCACCTGGAAAGTTCCCTGAAGTCCACGAGAAGGTTGATCCTCCAACAAAACAAGTGTCATCCGCCAAAGAACTTCTTGTCTCCTCCGAAGGATCAATTCCATCGAACAATTGAAGGAATTCATTATGGGAACTATCAAAGATAAGTATGAGGTCGCTTCAAATTCTTCTCTCACGTACGCAAAGCTTTATACTGCAAGAATCGATAGCTTAAAGATGCATGCCGGCTATCAACCTCCCAAATTCAGCAGTTCGACGGCAAGGGAAATCCAAAGCAACATGTCGCGCACTTTGTTGAGACATGCAACAATGCAGGGACTTATAGAGATTACCTTGTCAAGCAGTTCATCCGCTCACTAAAGGGGAATGCTTTTGATTGGTACACCAACCTCGAGGCTGGATCCATTGATAGTTGGGACCAATTGGAGCAAGAGTTTCTCATTCGCTTTTATAGCACAGGCGTATTGTGAACATGGTAGAACTTACGAACACTCGCCAACGAAAAGATGAACCAGTTATTAACTTTATCAACCGACGGAGGAATGCAAGCCTTAACTGCAAAGATAGGCTAAGCGAAGCTTCTGGCATAGAGATGTGCATCCAAGGAATGCATTGGGGACTTCGCTACATCTTGCAAGGAATTAAGCCAGGACATTTGAAGAACTTTCCACCCGTGCTCATGATATGGAGTTGAGCAAGCCTTTTGTGGGAAATGAAGGGCTGCCCATCTACGAACCTCGCAAGGGAAGAGATAAGCAAGAAGTCAAGAAATGGAGCAATTTCGTACCCAAGAAGGAAAGCAAAGAATCCATGAACGTCAATGCCTCTCCTTTGAAGTTTACTACCAAGGTGATCAAGAAACAGAATATGAAACAACTTCCTCTCAAGAAAATGCAAATCGTAAGTTGACTCTCAAAGAGATGCAAGAAAAGGAGTACCTATTTCTAGACTCTAATGTGCCTGCAATATTTGAAGAACTCCTCAAGCTAAAGCTTATTGAGCTGCCAGAGATGAAGCGGGAAAAAGTAATGACCCAAATTACTGCAAATACCATCGGCTTGTAGGTCACCCTCTTGAGAAGTGCTTTGTCTTCAAGGACAAAGTTATGGATTTGGCTCGTCAAAAGAAGATCGAGCTCGAAAATGAAAAGACGAGCACAAACCACGTGTCCATTGCCTTTGGCTCATTCGATTCGATTGAGATATGCACCTGTGAAGGGAATAAAGATGAAGAATTGTTGGAGGATGAAAAGTTCGAGTTGATCAACCTGATGAAAAAGGTTGGACCCTAGTGACTCGTCGAAGACGCCATAAATTGAGTCCGCAAAAAGGATCAATGAAGCAACCTACGAGAAATAAGATGGTGAGAAGATCAAAGAAGCAACAAATGGTTAAGAACCCAAAGAAGGTGGAGATAGAGACACACCATCACCAAAAGCCACGCCGGAGAATTTTTGCCGAGTTGGTTTCGCATGAAAATTTCTGACGATGATGACAAGGCCTTGTGTTGTAGTGCCGATAAAGAAGAAGAGGAAAAGAACGAAGTCAAGTCAACACTGTCTCCATCACTGTCTAATAGTCTTGTTGAGTCCTTCTTCCAAGAGGCGGATGTCTGTAATGCAAAAATCACCTTCATTGAAGACGATCTCCTACTTGCTGAGACACCACACAATCGCCTTTTGTTTATGGTGGATTATGTGCTCGAGTGGAGGAGAAATAGAATCTTGATAGATGACGGATCTGCATTTAACATTCTTCCCATTCGCATAATGAAAGAACTGGGCACATCAATTAAAGAACTTTCTGAAAGCCAACTGATGATTCAAGGATTCAATCAAGGGGGCAAAGGATCGTAGGAGCTATCAAATTGGAAATCACCATGGGAGATATGCAATCAACTACATATATGCATATGATTGATGCAAAGACTTCATACAATTTGTTGCTTGGCAGGCCATGGATACACGAGAACAAAGTTGTCCCATCAACTTACCACCAATGTTTGAAATATAATAAAGATGGAGTCGAAAAGAAGATAGTTGTTGATGACAAGCCGTTCGCTGAAGCCAAGGCATACTTCGCTGATGCAAAGTTCTACTTGAAGAACCACATCGTGAAGGGCGTAAAAATTGATGATATCGAAGGCCAAAGGTGATAATATCGTGTCCAAAAGGGATGATGTAGCTTCTGGTGAAGATAAAGCTACAATAGAAGCATACCAAGTTTTGAAAGCTCCCAAAAAGAATGCTGCAACTGTAGGCAAGAAAATAACTCCTTTATTTCGTTACGTCCCAAAAGTGAAGAAAGATGAAGGATAATCATCAAGCCTCCAAAAAGATGCACTAAGAGAATTAACCCTTCCTATCAAGCAGATTGATATTATAAAGTTATCTTCAAAGCTACTGGAAACGTTTGTGGCCCCTGACATGCCTCAAAATAAGGCACTCCCCATAAAACGCACAAATGAAGGTTTTGATCTGAATGTTTACAGGTTGTTCGCAAAGGCTGGATATGATCCCGACGAACCATATAAGCTAGGAAAGCTCCCACCTGAAGCTACCAGGAAAGCAAACACGATGAAGGATAAGGAGCATGTGATGAAGCAATCACGTGAGGGTCTGGGTTACAAACAACCCCCACCAGTTCGCATCTCCATTAGAAGAGCAAGTATTAACTATATCATGATGGAAGATGAACCCGCCGATCCTAATAAAAGGCCTTCTATCTTTGATTGACTTGGAGAACCAACTACAAGAACTTTTGTATTTGAGAGGTTGGGGCCATTGAAAAGGAAGAAGAACAAGTCCAAAGAAATTATGAAAAAATAATAATACCTTTGCCATCTAGAGTCCAAAGTATCTCCAAAGAGTGTCAAAGCCTGATCCCTTCCAGAATGAGGCGACAATCAGAACTTTTGATTTCATGCGGAGAGGTACTCAAAGTGAAGACT